TCGTGTTCTTGATCTCATTAATTGTATTCTGCGAATATTGAGACGGGATCGTGACAACCAATAGCCGGTGCATCGCCAACCACGACACCTATGGGATCGTGTTGAGATGAGATGATTGGTGAGGTGTCAGATCGGTTTTAAGATTCTGTATGACGTGTGATATACAAATATGCTATTTGTATATGTTGATTGAGATACTTTGTGATACTCGATTATTTGTTATTCAATGTACTTGAGCATATTTTTTCTCGTCATATTATATATTTTTTCGTTTTATTTAATATTTTCAGGTTGATTTTAAAGAAAAGATCAGAACGAGATGATCAGAATATTAAAGACGAGGATATGTCGATGTAATTGATGTTTTAATCCTGTTGAAAGATTTATTTATATTGACAAATTTATTTGTATTNATGATTTTATTCATTTTTCTGAATGTGCTATTGTGTTTAAAATTATTGTAAAAATGACTACTAAGTTGATTGACTTATGTATATATTTTGATGGGTAACAATACATGGCACAGAAACGTTAACCTAAATAAATATTACAAAGAATTTGATTATAATAAGAAGACATGTCAAAAAGCTCCTGTGATGGCAGAATAGGCAGCTCTTGTGAGGGCAGAACATACAGCTCATGTGAGTGCAAAAAAAAAAATTGCTTGAAAAAATTAAAAAAAAATTAAAACTATTTGCATGAAAAAAAAAATTGAGTAAAAAAAATGCATGAACAAATATTAAAAAAATTGCATGAAAAAATTAAAAAATAAACTGAATGAAATTTTTTTTAAAATCTATATAAAAAACATTTACAAATCTGCAAGAAAAAAAAATATTTACCAACTTATGTAGTAAACTATCAATGTGGAGAACAACTTGAAGAACAAACCCTCTCATGTTCTGTTTGACTTCTAGCCACACAAGTTATGACCTCTACCAATAAAAAAAGATATATTATATATATATTAGTTATTTTTTGTGTCTAAAAGCACAGAGTAATAAAAAAAATTATCAATAATAAACATATTTATATTCACACCCAAAATTAAATTATAAAAGATAGATGAGTGATGGTGGGGTGGCGATAATGGTGGTAGTGGAACAATAGTGATGGTTGTTGTGAAAGAGGTGATGGTGGAGTGACAATAATGGAGGCGGTGACGGTCATAGTGGGACGATGGGTGTGGTAGGGTGGCGATAGTGGTGGTGTTGGTGTTGGTGGTGTAAATGACGGTGGTGGTAGTTGTGATTGTGGTGGGGCGGTGGGGGTGGTGAGGGTAGAGGTGTTGATGGAGCGGTTTTCAAATACTAATTTTTTTTAAAGTATTTATGAGAAGTTATAAACATTAAAAATATTTTTAAAACATCACCCAAAACACACGCTTAGGAGCTTATTTTTTATTAAATTTGGAATGTTAATATTAGCCATCAGATTAATTTAAAATAAAATTAAAAAAAATCTCAACTGTAAAAAATAAAATTTATTTTATTTATTTTTTAAAATTTAAATTATATTGTACTTTATTATATAAATATAAGAAAAAAGGGTTGAGAATATTTTAGTACATTCATATAAGAAGGGGTAGTTTTAATATTTTAAAAAAATTTAAAGGCAAACCATAGCTTTTTTCACCTGCACTGTTAAATTTTACGATTAAAGGTAAATTTTTGATTTGAGAGTATAACCTAGAAAGGGGCGCAGCCAAGTTTTAGAATGAAAAATGGGTGTCATTTAATTTAGGGCTAATTAGAGGGGGGGTGAACGAAATTTTCTCTAGATTTTAGTATTTTACTATCCGGAAAAGGCGGAGATTTGTCCTGCACTAACAATATTCAACTGTTATTTAGGGTTTTGATTGATTTGGCCTCCAGTTAATAATTAGTAATATCAAATCCCTTAAAGTTAGTGGAATTTGAATTAATTAAAGCCTGCATTTGACTCTCTTCGTCGTAGAATGTAACGGATGGTTTAAACAAATCATCTTAATTAAAAAAAATCAATTATTTCACTAAATAATTATGAATATTTAGATCACCGAGTTCTATTTACATTTTTACATGATAATTGATTATGAATAACTTTGTGCCCGAAGATATTCTGTATATATCAAAAATTGAGTATTAATCGTGTAATATTTATATTTGAAATAATAATTTATTTATTTTAATTTCATAGTTTAAAATTAAAATGGACAAAGACAAAATAAGAGATATAAGAGAGGTAAGTATGAATTAGTAATGTTATCTGGTATTGAATAGTGCATTAGTTGAGTTGTTTGACACTACAAGTTATGAAGAGAAAATAATACTTTTGGACAAAAAAAAACTTTTTTAGAATAAATTTTGTACTGTTTAGATAAAAATAAATAAAAATTAGATCAAGCTTAATTGTTATACTTTTATAAATATGCAATTTAAATTTCTAAATATTATATTAGATATATAATCTCATCCCACGAGTAAGAAAAAAATATTAATCGCAACAGTGATACCACGTCAGCATTGTTACGTCATATCACTAATTGATAATGTGTACACAAATAAAAAAATAAATCTCGTACAAATCAATAACTACATGTCCATGAAAGACAATAATTATTCACTCTTATTCCGTGTAAATCAATAAATATATAAGTGGAATTCACTTGACCAATTTAGAATTTTTTTATTGGTCAGTGATATTAAATCATCAATGGTAATATGATATCACTGTTACATTGCATATTTTCTTCCCCATGCAAACTTGTGTTGTACTAATAATGGGAAGGATTGGGGGTGGGGGTGGGGG